TTTTTTTAAGGAGGGCGCGGATTTTTTGTTTTTTTCCCCCCCGAGAAAAAAACCGGGTCCGGGGGGGGAAAAACAATCCCCCAACCGGGGGGGGGGGGGGGTGGGGAAAAAAAGGGGGGGGCCCGTTACGCGCCCCCCCCCCCCCCCCCCCCCCCCCCCGCCTTCTTCCTTCGCGGGAGACTTGGCTCAAGTGTTGCCTTTTGCTGGTTTCTCGGCGCTGTCTTGTCCCCGAGTGTTGCCTGTCGGCGCTATTTCGTGATTGGTGCTGTCCAGGCAGGCACCGAAGGGTGTCAAGTCAAGACTTGTTCTTGAGTCTGTCTCCCGTCGAAAACGGCAGCAACCACATGGTCCTGTCCTGCTTGGTGTTACCCTGCGCTTGTTCGGTGTTTCTTGTCTTTTTGTCGCCCACCCGTGGTACGCACGGCTTGTTTCCTTGGTCCTCCCGCCCCACCCGCTCCACTCGTCCGTCTTGCTGCTTTGTTTTATGCTAGATGAGCTGGTTCTAGATAACCTTACTTCAACATTTTCGTAAAATGTAAATGTGACACGTTTTACCTCCTTGGTAACGGTTGTTGTTTGCTTCCCCTCTTTTTTTCTTGTCCTGTACTGTTTGTTGCCCGTCTTGGTTCGTTTTTTTTTGTGTGATTTCTCGCGCCGGGCAGATTTCTTTCCCTGTCCCAGACGGTGGATGCCGTTGTCTGCGTGGGGTGCCTGATCAAGGTAAGACTCCCCCTCGCCCCGCCCGCCCCGCCCTTCTCTCGCGGACACGCGCTCAGCACACTCGCACACACATACGGTATCATAGACCGATTCTGCGCACACTCCGCGCGACACCAATATTTATCCAGGCTCCCTAGAAACGTGTGCAAGCTAGACCATGTTTTACTGGCCTGGACCGCAAACAGCTCTGGACGTGAAAGGTCAGCGTTCGTTGGACGTGTGGATTCAGTAAGTTGTTTGTGTGAGTTATTCCGACATCGACATCGATCGATCCCAGCCCATCGCTTGATTGACCCTATGTGTGTTGTACCTCTCCCGTGTAATCGCGCCACCTGATTGCTTTTGCGACTCCTCAACGCTCGCTGGATCCCGCTGGATCCCGGTACACGCTGCGGAACATTACTCTGCTGCTGCTGCTGCTGCTGCTGCTGCTGCTGCTGCTGCTGATGCTGCTGCTCAAGTAGGGTGACACCATGCACTTCGAGTACATCGCTGAGTCGAGTAAGTTGTGGTGTTAGCTTCAAGCCTACGCTTTGGTAGGGTACGGTAGAAGCGAGAAGCTGGGCGGATGGCGTCGGTGTGGTGTGTGGGTGTGTGATGCTCTCTCTGCTGATGCGCATAACCGCGGAGCAGAAGTCCAGGGTCTCGCAACACAGCAGTTCTGGGGCTGACACGTTGCGCAGTGTGTTGCCCTGGGATGGATTGGCCTGCTCCTACTGCACAATTCGTCGGCAGTGGGTAGTGCTCCTATGACAGTATTACAGACTACCGCCAAATTATTCGTCCGGCATTCTTCTGTACCAGCCGTGACTTATATTTACGCACCGGCAAAACCCCAGCGTCCGGTAGGCGTCTTACGACTACTAGAACAAGCAGCAGCGGTGTCACGCCCATACTACAGACCAGACCCCCCTCCTCCCCCCCCCCCCCCCCCCCCAACCGCAGGCGAGGTATGCATAGCCTAGCCCCGCAACATCTCCGCAAACCCGATACGTGGCGGCGTAGTGACGTCACTGCTGCCAACCGGGGCTCAAGATCAACCACAACCCACCGCACTATGCGTACTATAAATATATATTCCTTTTTCGTTTTCGTTTTGTTTTTTTGGTCCTCGCCTCCACCGCCGCTGCCGTTTCACGCCCCGATGTCATGCATGTGATGTGATGTGGTGTCGTGTGGTGTGATGCAGCGTGCAAGGGACTGATGGACGTGTCGATCCAGACGTCGACACCGGTAGTCCTGGGGGTGCTGACGTGCACGGAAGAGGAGCAGGCGATCAAGCGCTCCACTGGGGACAACAACCACGGGGTTGACTGGGGTAAGACATGCCGTAGGGTACACAATATTCGTGGTATTGTTGTTGTTGTTGTTGTTGTTGTTGTTGTTGTTTGTGTTGTTGATAATGATTATGGTATTCTTGATGGTGTTGCTGCTGCTGTTGGTGGTGATGGTCGTGGTGGTGTTACTTGCTGGCTGTTTGTTGTTCGTTGCCTTCGCTGTTTGCATTGTCGATCTAGCCGTTGCGGTAAGTCAGCCAACCCATTCGTTGTTCTTGGGGTTATTCCTTCTCAAACCTCGCCGCCGGGTAGATGTCAAGTAAATCCTGTAAGGGTGTCAGAGGGCTTGACACAGTCCATCCATGCATTTTGTCGGTCTTGCTCAAACGGGAGGGGCGCAGGCGAGTAATTTATGCATTTGCTGGACAACTTTGAAAGGTTGCGTTCGGTACGGTACGGGTACGCTCGGTAGGGTATTGATATATTTCCGAAGCGTACCGAATTTCGGCAAGGTAATAAAATATTACCGAAGCTTACCGAAATTTCGGTAGGGTATTGAAATCTTACCGAAGCATACCGAGGCGCTCGGTGGGGTACATACGGCCGGTATTTACCGTCGGTATGCCTCGGTCGTACCTTACCGAACACACCCTTGTTTATTATGGAAAAACGAAAATAGTTTGTTTGCCGTTGGCGTCAATATTTACTAGTGATTTTTTTCGTTTTTTTTTGCCCACGCTCGCGAAGGGAAGCTTCAAAGCTTGGTCTGGTCGTCCTCCGTTCGCCCTAACACCCCCGTCCACCCTCTCCGGGAAACAACGTGTGCTTGTGTTTGTGCGTGTGAAATTTCTTGGAACGTTCGGCAGGCAAGACGGCGGTCGAGATGGGCCTTCTCCGCATGAGCGCTACGGGCGTTGGCAAGAAGGCAAGCAAGAGCAAAAGCATGGCGTTGGGTTGTTATTTGGAGTTGAGTCGCCCGTGCGATTTCAATCGGACTCCTCTGACTAAGACGACCAACCCACTCGTTTGCTTTTTTCATCGCGCGCGAATTTTTCTGTGTGCACAACAAAGGCTCACGTGGCCAAGTCTCTTAGCCCCCCCCCGTTTCTCCTCCCCATGCTTGGTGGCGTCACCCCCATTTCCTCCCCATCCTCGGTGCTCCCCCGTATCCCCTGTTTCATCGGTACTCCAGGCGGGCGGGGCTTTGGGTTTCGGGAAGAGCTTAGACGACAAGAAGGACGGCAAGGACGGCGCTATCCCCGGCAGCAAGCCAAAGAAGATCGGCTTCTAGATCAGATTTCGACTGACTTTGATGTGTTGCCATCCTTGTCAGGCCACTGGAGGAAAGGGACAACAAGCGTCGTTCTGTTGTTGTTGAGCATGGCGCATTCCCTAGCGGCGCAGAATCCGGTCATGGTTTTGCCTTCGATGGAGAGGAAACCACTGTTACACAGCAGGGGGCAATCTTTCCTCCTCTCCATACACAAATTTGGGTCAAGTTTGGATGGCGTGCTCCGAGAGCGTGGCAATATAGTAATAGCACTTGCAGCAGCAGCTCTGCTTGCTGACGGCGGGATAAAAACATGAATCCACCCCTACCCTGTGCGAACGTTCGCACCACTTCACACCAACAACATGTCCTTAAAATTATTTTCATTGGTCAGCCGGTTAGCGTGGTCGACTTAAAGGAAAGAAACACAAACACACATGGGACCGAGGATTCCAATCCCAACCATGAGCGGAGGATCTGGACTAGACACGAAGAAAACGTTACTACTATGCATATTTACCTCAACAGATCTCAACACAACAATCGACAGCCTTCTTTGTTTGTTGCCCTATCTCGAGCACAACACAAGCTAATGAAGGACGAAACACCATGGAAGGGAGACAAGCGCCATTTGCTTGACAAAGAGCAACTAGGAGCAAGGGTGTTGCACGACAGCAAACAACACAGAGATTGTTGAGGATTGATTTTGGCACATGAGAAACAACGCCCTGCAAAAAATAATCGACAAATAAGAATATCGGCAGTTCTTCCGTCAAGAGTAAGAGGTTTAAAATGGGCGAAATTGGCGGCAATACCAACAGAACAAACTAGTTTTTGTTTCTCCGCGGCTGTCAATTGTCTCTTTTACACGAACAACAGTCAACACGTAAACGAGACAAGCGTCGTAAGCGAGATCGTCAAGGAGTGAGAAGAGAGACAACAGGAACGAAATTTACAACGATGAACCGGGACCACGACGACGAAGATGCAAAAAGATTGTTGCACCAAAAACCAACAACCCAAAATTTCCGCGGAATAGCGGACAGTACTCGGACAACTTCTTGTGGGTGAGGAAAGGAGGTCCGAGACCCCTGGTCCAACAAGACACTGGATACCCAACAACAGCTTCGTCAAGTAAAACTAGTGAAACACCGAAACAAAAAAACAAGACCCTACGGAGAGAAGCCAGGTACATTAGACAGGCGAGGTTGAAGTCGCTATGTAGCGCCTGTCATTTTACGTCGCTAGCTTTTGAACGCAAACCAACAACGGCCCGCCTTCTGTGCCCTTTACAAAGGGCAAAACACACCGCCACAAGTTTAACAGTTACGGAAATAACAACCCAACCAAAGGCACGAGAATTAGACAGACGTAAGCCGGGGGAGGGTTCTCTGTCTCTCCCTGCCGTTGTTCCTCGCCAAAGCAGCAGCAGCGTTCCCTCTAAAATACGACGCATCCAGCAAGTAATTGAAACGCAAATCCCTACCAAAATAGCGACTCGTTAGGATATAGGATACAGAAACAATAACTCTTTAAGAAAATACTACGACCTTTTAACCGCACGTTCCTACCAATGTACCGAACTCGTTAAGGCATTCTACAGCACAAAGAAGACCACCAGAAACACTCAAGAGGAGCTGCCGCTGCTCCGGAAGCTAATCCGCCGCCGCGGGCCCGTGCCGGACTGCGAGAACACCGACCGACGCATCGCCGCCGCCGAACCCGCCTCCTTCCACTGGGAAGATCCGCCCTCTCCGCCGTCCACCGACGCCGACCCCCACCCCTTACCCACCACCGCTCGCCCTCGGCTAGCCCCGACGTCGCTCCATCCCCCCGGGCTGCCGCCGCCGTCGCTGCGGCGACGGCCACCACCACGGCCGTCTTCGCTCCCGCTCCCCCTCAAGGTCAGCGGCAGCAACGTCGGGTCGTTGGCGCTACCGCCACCGTTTCCGAGGTTGGAGCCGTTCTCGCTGCTGCCGTGCTCCTCCGCGTTCCGCTCGCCGCCGTCGTCACCTGGAAAGACCGGTACCGCTGTCGGGGAACTCCGACGCGACCATATTCTGCGCCGTGGTTTTGGCTTCGGTTGCTGCTGTTGCTGCTGCTGCCGCTGCTGCTGCTGCTGCTGCTGCTGCCGTGGCGGTGGCTGCCGTGGCGGCTGCTGCTGCTGCTGCTGCTGCTGCTGCTGCTGCTGCTTGCTGGTGTGGGAGCGGGGAGATGACGGAGTGCTTACGGGGGGCGTGGCGAAGAAAGGGTTGTCGTCACGGGTGTTGGACGGCCGCTGCCGAAGCTGCTGCTGCTGCTGCTGCTGCTGCTGCTTCTGCTGCTTCTGCTGCTGCTGTGGATTATTCACGGACGTCGTCTCGCGACGCTCGACAGCCGCCGTCGTCGCCGCCTTTCTGGGAGAGGAGGACAGCATGTGCACGGAAGAGGCCGAGATGTCCCCCCCCGTCCTGCTGCTGTCGCCGCCGCGTCGCGTTTTTCGGTCAGGCGTAGACGGCGGGTAGCCGTTGCCGTTAGCAACGTCGCCGCGCCCAACCTGCCGCGTCTGCTGCTGCTGCTGCTGCCGTATGATTGTCACGTGCGTTGCTGTTAACATTAGAAAGGCACGCGGGTGAGACGCAGGGGGGGGTGAGATGGGGTAACACGAAGAGAGTTGAGAAAAGATTTTGTGGCACACAATTCACTGATTGGTCAACACGCCTGCGGCGGAATTTCAAAATACAGGCACGACCGAAGATCCTTGGGCGACGGGTGGCGTCATCCACGGTGCCATCATGGGTAACACCTGGGGAATCGATGGATACTCTTGAAGCCCTACACAAGGGCACCAGGACTACTGCTGTACCCCCCCCTTCCCCCCGTGGCAATCTCTGTCTGTTTGTCTCACATGCCACGTCCTCCGAGAATCCGAGAGCGTCCTCCACCTTACGCCGGCTCTCTTCTTGGTCGTGCAAGAGCTCCTCCGCCATGGCCTTCTCCACCCCATCGGGTACGTCGTCGATGAGAATGCGGACGGTCGCCTTCACTCCAAGGATCATGTGCTCGGCGAACACCGCCATCTGGGGGGGGGGGTATGAGTGTTGTACGCAAGACCGAGGGGGCTGCTTTAGGTATCTGAAGGAACGCGCGGGACGGATGTCAGGGAGAGGATGAAAGGTCGAAGGGTGTGTGCGCGCTGAAAGAAAACAGGACTACGCGGAAAGCAGACGGGGGTGGGTGGGGGGTCCAACCACGAATCACCACCACAAGTCGCTGTGTGCCCCAGCGTCGATGTTGCTATCATTCAAGCTCTGTCCAAGCGATCAGGTTTTTCGACAAGACACCGACACCGACAACATGACCATCACAGGCGTGGCCCTCTCTCTCTCTCTCTCTCTCTCTCTCTGGGTTACTTGTCTCACCACAATATACTTGGTGTTCGGGAACTGTGTAACCAGAGGCATCGGGACGTACATCCGTAGCTTCTCCGCCGTCAGTGCCAGCAGAAGGCTAAAAACAAAAAAAAAGTACAAGAGCGCGCGGGGGGGGGGGGGGGGGGGGG